AAACCTTGCACAAAGCATTCACTGTGCTGCCAAGGAGCAAGTGCAGTGCCCTCATTCATGAGAAGCCACCAATGCCGTTTTCGCTACATAACAAAGATAAAGCCTTTCCCTTTTTCGAACACCCAACACTAAAAAGAAATTGAATTTACCAACTTGGTTATTCCCATTTGATCGAGCCAAAAAACAATATAAAAAAGATCCAATTTTGTTGGAAATTCAAAGAAAACGAGGGAAGTAGGCTCTGCTAGTAACTAGTATGGTGTTATGAGTTATGGTGAAGGAAGAGCAATGGAAGACTAACAAACAGAGGTAGCTCTAGGTCCAAGTACGCGCTAGTTCAGAGCTACAGAGCTAAGTGGTGGCAGCAACAATGGCGGTTGAGTTTAGTTTGTTTGAAATATCGGTTTTAAATGGGAAACAGTCACTTTATGTTTCTACGTTTAATTCCCTGCAAATGGATATGTTTTAAATATAAAATGAAAAAAAAAAGGTTTATATTTTTCATGAATATGATAACATAAAGATAACATTCATTTTTGGTTTTCTCTTCATTTTACAGAGAGGCCAACACAGCAAGCAAACGAAAAAAGAACTCTTGTAAGTTGTAATGTAACATAAACAATATAAAGGTTTTACAAATGCATCTTAAAGTTGTTTTAATTTTAAGCAACTTGTGGCATTGAGGACGTAACACTTTCAAAGTAAGAACTTGCAAATTTGCAACTATTTTTCGTTCTTTTATGCATTAGTTGTTGGACAAGAGGCTCGAATTTCGCCTTCTTCACCAGTCTTGACGCCAATGCTAGCAAGCTTCAAGAATGACTGAGCCCAACTCTCAAAGAAAATAACTTTGTCCTGTGCTAAACTCTCCACTAGCTTCCTTGTTCTGTCATCGGTTAACAGGACGGAATCCGATTGAAATAGCCCTCTGTGGGCTATGAGATTTTGGTAGTATTGATTATCGAACACAAACGAAGTGTTAGGATCAATTTTGACTGTCGTAGATGGATTTGCGTCCGCAGGGCACTGTCTCATGAGCTCCCCTGCATAAGCATTGTCTAAGGATGTGTCAATGAGTTTGAGTTTCCCTTTGGAGTCTTGTTGGAACCTGTCACTGAATGCACCACAATGAGCTGATCCAATAGTGTGAGCTCCTGGAATAATATCATCAAAGAAAGCAGTTAATGGTGTACCTAAAAGACTTCAACCTCTCATTAAAATTTTCAACTAACAAAAAAGTGGTTCAATCAAACTTTGGCAAGCAAAAACATGTTTCTAGATAACTAAAATTGTACCTGATAGGGTGACAAGGTCATCCAAAGACAACCCTTTAGATAAGAAGAGCTTAATCATCTCATCCATTGTAAAACTTGTGTCTACAATATTAGGCCTGACATTTGAAGCTGCAGAAACCTTTCCATCTCTCCTACCAGTTGGAATCTGAACTACAGGTCCCCCAGCCTGTTTTCCAGTCATCACCATAAATATAATAAATACCCAACTAGAAGATGCAGAAAAATAAAAAAGAATTAATGAAGAATTAAACATAACAATTAATGAGGGAGATGGATCTTAACAATTTCAACAGCATCTCTAGCAGCCAAAACAACAATGTCAGCACAAGAAACAGTTCCTGGACAGAAAATTTCAAGCAGTCGTTTTGCTGAATCAATCACTGAAAAGCCTCCCAGAGATGTGTTTGCCGGATCACTTCTCTCAGTCCCAGTTCCTTGTAGAAGCACAGATGCATCACAACCCTGAAATCATGAAAAACATTACACAAACAAACATGCATGAAAGAAGCCACCCATTTTCATGGTTTAAGATTATTTTTTTCTTGGGGGAGGGAGCTTAGTGTCAATTCAAATCAATGCCGAAAGTCAATGAGGCATAATGCATCTAAGAGAGCAAGCTAGAGTTGTTTACCTCCACAAAGCAATCATGGAAGAGCAAGCGAAGGAGCTTCCCAGGGATGGTAGGGTCCATGTCAGAAGCTGATCTAACTGTGTTTTTGACCATGAGCTCAGCAGAAGGGCATGAAGCTGAGTAGAAACTCAATGTGAGCTCATCACAAGAAGCAGAAGCAGCTAAACATAACCACACAAAGAAGACACCATGTGTGTAAAAGAAGGCTGTTGGTCTTTTCTCCATATTGGGTTATTTTCATGGAGCCTAAACCATACAGAGGAGTGCTTAAGACATTGACTTCTTGGCCCTTGTATTATTATAGAGCATTCAAAGTCAGAAAATATCAGAGAGAGAGAGACGGACAGGGAGAGAGCAAGAGATAGTTGGCCATGTGGAATCATATGTAAGTTTTATTTAAAGCTGCATTAATGTGGTTTTGGTAATGTCAGAAGGTAGATGGCTTCACTTTGGTTGAGAAAATTACTCATCGCACCAAGAAAAGAAAGAAGCAAAAATAGGATTTTGTGTGGCTCTGTGAAAGCAAACATTTTTTATTATCAGATTCAGACCCCATTTATTAACTCTTGGGAAAATTTGAGAATTGGATAGAATTGATGTCTAGGATGAGATTCACGTGATACATAAGAAGATGAGGAATGCATTGATCGAATTGAAAAAATGGAGACGAAGACCGTGTATTTGAGATAGTACAAGAACCAGTCATGATAAATTTATTTTATTTAAAAAAAACCTATAAAATTTCATCTGTTAGACAGATGAAAGATTGTTACACAAGTCAGTATATCTCTTGTTCTTATTGGGCCAATATGTGATTTGCTCACCCTTACAGAAATTGGACACTGAATAAAAGATAGTCTAAAACTAACTGGCCTAAAACAATGAAAAATTTGAAAAAAAGAGGTCAGAGGGGCTGGAAGACGAGGCCAGACCAACCTGATTGACCATGCATGAAATTCGATTACATAAACTTCAACTGAGAGAACCTAATGTCATTGATCAGCAAAAATATTTTGAAACTGACAGAAAGCAATACGACTACACTACAGGAGCTTCAAATATTTTCAGTTTTAGTATCCACCGCATCTTCAGCAAGTTCTTCCAACTCATCCACATCATCTACATCATCAATGGGAATGTCTTCACTGTTATCTTCAAGAGAACCTACAGAAAGCTTTGAAATTAGTTTTAGGAAAACTTAAAAGAGAAAATTCGTAACAAGGACACAGAAGAAAAAATTGTTACCTGTACGGATCAATGGAAGAGGACTCCTGGGTACTTGTGATGATTCTGACGTGTTATCAAGAAGGTAAGGAAGTTCCAGAAACTGCAAAAGAGATTCTGTCTGAGGATTCCGAATGTATTCTGCGAAAAGAAAAATTGTAGTATTAACATAAGATATTCTTGTTTATCAACATATCAAATTATATTACATAAAGGATGGCATAATTATCCTTACCAGGAAAGGTACCGCTTGGGACAGAGTTAGAGGGATTGTAAGGTGGAGCTGTCTGGGTGAATTCAAAAGGTCTAGCCCCTCTTGCTTGTAAATTTCTCCTGACCCATTGACGACAATCTTGCTTGTCAAGAGGTACATTCCTACAGTATAACATACACACTTAGTAGCTACATTACAATAGAAAAAGACAGTTAAAACGGTAAAGAAGAAGAAAAGGTTTAACAGTCGGATCATTGGTAGCATTCACAATACATTTCTAAAGAGGTACACACCAAAAATTTGCACTTCTATTTGTGAGAGGGAAATTAGAGTTAAATCGCCGAGTTATTTCTAGCCATTCTTCATCATACTGGATTTCATAAGGGCCTGGCTCAGATTCAATTTCAATAACCTAAAAAACCAGAAAATGTCACACATAGAACCATTAGCTACCAGCAATGACTCCAGGGAACACCCTATATACTACATTCAAAATCACATCAAATACCTGCAGAAATTTGCGTCCTGGTTGGCACTTGTCAAGGGCAAGAAAGTTTGTCACTGAACCAGCTTCCTCGTGCTGAACAAGAGCAGCAAATTTGCAGTGTAGATGAGCTGAAAACCAATAAGGTGGTTTCAGTTTTTCTAGCAATTGAGCAGCTGGTTTACTCCCAAGATTTCTTTCCTGAACCTAATGACATTTTAAACAAACAAGATATTTAAAATCATACCTATCAAAGCTTACCAACTCATTTTTCCATTCTTGCAATTACCTCCTTCTCAAAAAAAGGTTTGTCCCGAACAAGTTTCTTCCAGTCCCCACAATCAGTGATGCCAACAGGCCAATCATGTGAAAGAAAAATATCAATTGGTTCCTCAACTTGCATGAGTTTGTGGACATCATACTCACGAACATGATATATGGACCTGATAGTACTCTCATTATAAGGAGGCCTCTCATAGTGCCCTGTTCAGGAGGAGGAACAAGTTACCCTTGTTGTAACACCCCATATAGCAATAATTGCCCATACCATAGCTATACTTAAGAATAAGAACAATATCCAAACATAAATAACTATGTTTCATCAACAAAGGATAAGCAAAGTAATAAACATCTGGAATGACACAAATTTAAAGCAAACTAACCTTTGCAATAATTGTGCCGGTTGTAAATTCCAGACAGCCCACCAATTCGAATGTTTCCAAACTTGACTACCCCAGCAAACCCCAAGAAGTATATATTAGGTGCTGCCCACCCTCCATAATAACTGAAAACAGAAAGAGAAAAAAAAAAAAAAAAAAGAGGAGTAAAAATCACAGGGAAAATGGCAAGACATTATTCATTAAAAAATAAAAATAAAAAACGACAAACAGAAAAATTGGAAGGGAATGCTATAGCTTATAGCTGAAGAAGGGACTCACAGTTCCCACAAATAATTTGAAGCTTCGTGATTTCCACCGATGAATATTGTGGGGAACGGAGCAACTTCCTCGCCGGAATAGTATTTCCAGAAGGTCTTCATTTCCCGATACTTTCGAGGCACATTTAAACTCTCTAAATCCTTCTCATTCCTCACAGCCTAATTTCACGAAAACATTTACTTATAAACCAATATTGTCCAATTTCAGAAACAATCAAACAAATAAAAAAGCTTGAAACTTTAGGGAAAATAAGCAAAGAACGAAACTGCAAGTTGTAAGTTTTGGGGCAATTTGAAAAATTTCAGGCCCACTTAAGCTCTCCATATCCTTCTCATTCCTCACAGCCTAGTTCTTCCGAAAACAATTGTATTCAACTAAACATCGTTAAATTTCAGAAACAATTCAATAAATAAAAAAGCTCGAAATTTGGGCAAGCGAGTAATGTACCTGAAAGTCGCCGCAGCAGAGGAGAAGGTCGATTTTGGTGCTGTGAAGTTTTTCGTAGTGTTGGAGGGTTCTGTAGACATTGTCGAGGTCACCATGCATACAACCTTCTACTGCGATTTTCATTCTGATTCCCAAATCCGAGCCACAAGCTGGAGTGCAGGGAACCAACCCAATACTGGGGTTTAGGCAAAGCTTCCCTCTGGGTTTTGTTTACCGCTTTTTTTAAGACGGATTTTTGCCCAATACTGAGGTGGATTGAATTTTGAACTAATTAATATATTTATAATAAATAAAGCTTATTATTATTATTGAACCTCTTTTGATAAAAGAAAAAAGGAAAAAAAGATGTATTGAACCGAAATTTTAATATTGAAAAAAAAAAACACTAATGGATGTTAGTTTCTAAATCGTAAAGCAATTCCAGAATTTCTCAAAAATGAAAAAATAAAAAAAATCGTAAAGTAATAGAGTACAAAATTTTAATGTGTTACTTTTCTCTAAGACAGATTTTTAGGGTGCCATAAACATTAATATAAGCTAAATAAAACCTATTAAATTTGATTAAAAAATGTTGAATATTGGGTTTTCTTCTTTCTTGACACAAGCAATATTTTTTTTAGATTAAGCGATAATTGTATTCATAACTTCTTAGCTCACAACCAACATTAAATGAGAGAGGTATTGAATAATTAGCTCACATACATGAATCAATGCTCTTCAACTTCTTAAACTACAAATTCCTTGAAAATGTTGAATTGAAAAGAAAAACATATAATCAACTGAAAATCAAATTCCAAATGCAATAAGCAAACCAATCAGAACGGAAACTCTAATACTTCTTAACGAAATTCTCATGATAAAAGTTGAAACGTTTTTCACATCACATCGACTAAACGGTGTAGAAGTAGGTCACATGTTTCCCTTTTAAGGCAACAACATATGGAGATTTCATCACATAAATCAAAAGTAGCACAGCAACGTTTCACCAGAAACACAGGGACTTTTCCGAAAGTCCCAGAGCCTTGCAAGCATCGCCAACCACCACACATCTTCTTCACCCTCTCTCTCTCTCTCTCTCTCTCTCTCTCTCTCTCTCTCTCTACTAATCAGTATCTCTCTCTTTTAATCTCAAAGGATCAGAACATAACTGTGCATTGATAATTTGATCAACAGCAGAAACATGGCTCTGGTTCACCCTTTGGTCTCACACACCTTTCCCTCTTCTTCCACTGCTTCAAAACCATTAACATCAAACAACAGCCAAATCAAACCCACCTCTCAAACCATTTCCATTAATATTCACGAATAAAAAGAGCCACAAAATTAGTTGTAATGCAGTCACTGATGATATCAAACACAAGGCTGCTGCACCTCCTCCACTTGATCATGATCTCAAAGAAGAGGAACAGGATCACAGGGTTCTAGTGAGTCCTTCCGGTGAAGAAGAGCATAGAGGTGAAAGGGTCGTGGCTGAATATGATTGGACACAAGAATGGTACCCTCTGTATCTAACCCAGGGCCTGCCAGAAGATGCACCTTTAGGCCTTACTGTGTTTGTATCGTGATGGCTCTGGCCTGCTTCGCTGTTACGAGGATCGTTGCTCTCACAGGTAAAAACTTAATACTGTTAGTAATCTCATGATTCATAACCTCTTTTCATTCACAAACTCTTAAGTGAAAATCTTGTTTTTCTTTCCTCTGTTTTGCTTCCTCTGTTCTGCTTCCTCTGTTTTGTTACCTTTAGAGTTTCTACTTCATGGCTAACAAAAAGTGAATTCTTTGGTGTGTGCCTTTTTTTTTTTCTTTCTTTGAAGGCTTGCAAAACTATCAGAAGGCCAGTTGATTGATGGAAGACTGGAGTGTTTATATCATGGTTGGCAATTCCAGGGCCAAGGAAAATGTGTAAAGATTCCACAGGTAATATGTATGTGTCTTATGAGTATTTGTAATTCAAAACTTCAAAAGCTTTCTATTCATCATCAAGCTATTATCCTAAGCCTCTCTTCTCCCTAGAACTAACAGTGGTATCAGAGCTTGTTCCGATCAACCTTGGGCGTTGGTTCACTACTCCTCCGTCATGTCTACCACTAGCCAAAACTCTGACCCTCTTCCTATTTTCATGGGAGAAAACTATGATTTCTTTGTTTCATTTCATTATATATAGTTCCCATTTTAATTGATTTAACAATATTCCACACTAATCAAGGGACCTTAATTGATCACTGCATGCACTACACAGCTCCCATCTGATGCTAAAATTCCTAAAGCAGCTTGTGTTAAGGCATATGAGGTGCGGGACTCTCAAGGTGTTGTTTGGGTTTGGACGTCTCACAAAAAACCACCCAATCCCAACAAGCTACCTTGGTTTGAAAACTTTGACAGGCCAGGCTTTGATTATTCTTCAACAATCCATGATCTCCCTTATCTATTCTTCTGGAGAATCTCATGGATCCTGCCCACATTCCAATCTCACATGACAGGACAGGTTTTACTGCGAAAAGAGAAAATGCACAGCCGCTGAGATTCGAGGTGACTGAGAGGACTGATAGAGGTTTTGCAGGCTATTGGGGTGAGGCAAAAGACCAATCCTTGCCTTACTTCTTAAGGTCTGAAGCACCTGGTGTTATTGAAAACACAAGGGAACTTGTAGACAAGAATGGTGAGAAGCACTACTCTGTTGGTCTCTTCCTCTGTAGACCAACAGGACAGGGAAAATCCATGGCCATTATGAGGTTTGGAGCCACCAAGCAATCCCCTTTGGCTAAATTGTTCCCAGATTGGTACTTCCATCACATTTCCTGTACAGTTTTTGAGCAAGATATGGGATTTCTCTCATCTCAAAATGAGATGCTTTTGAAAGAAAAATCTCCCACAAAAGATCTGTACCTTAATTTGAAATCATCTGATGTATGGGTAGCTGAGTATAGGAAATGGGTGGACAGAGTAGGGCATGGCATGCCTTATCATGTTGGGCACAGCACTATATCATTTCCTAATGAGCCAGCCATGGTAGAACATGCACCAGCAGGACTTGTTGCTAGTGTTTCAGCATCTCAACCAGCTAAGGGAGGCATTGGAAGCCTGCATGTTCCGAATTGGACCAACCGGTATTTCAGGCATGTGATTCATTGTAAAGGGTGCAGAGATGTTGTGAAGAGTTTTGAAGCCTGGAAAATTGGTCTTTCTGGTATTGCGATTGGGCTGATCTCAGTGGCTATTTTAGTGTCTGGGAGGCATTGGAAAGCCATTTTGCTGGTGTCAGCGGCTGTGCATTGAATACAACGAACTTCATAAGAACACACAGGAGCTTAAAATGAGAAGGTGTTAAAGAAAAATCCAGCCTTTTTCTATTCACTATTCAGTGTTCGCTAAGAGCATCCACGGGGATGTAAATTCAGGGGTGTAAAGCCACTTTTACATCCCCTTTACACATCCGGGGGGTGTAAATATGTTTTTTGCTTCAATGGGAGGATGTAAATTCGGGGGTGTAGCCGTGGGTCCCAACATTTTATGTTGACTTTTCTTCATTTTTCTTCTCTTTTCTCGGGTAGGTCCCGCCTGCAAGGGATGTAAAAATAGATGTAAATATACATTTTATTTTACATTCTCATGGTGATTATGTATATTTACATCTATTTACATCTCCCCATTGGAGATGATTCCAGTGACTCGGAGTGTATATTTAACATACACCCCCATATACACCTCCTCACTATGGATGCTCTAACTATTCACTCCACCAATGTCTTTTCTTGTCCCGCCAATTTCTATGGCTTAACTTTCCATCTCCCCAGCACCACCAGTCAATTGCTTTTCCCTATCTCCTCGCACCCACTAAAACCATCAACTCTAATTTTCAAACTCACAGCCTCACAGGCGTCAAATGAACATGCACCTCCCCTCCACTTCATCAAAAGGACTGGAAACCACAACAAAAAAAAGCGGGACGAAACAAAAAAATAAAAGAATTATGGCCCATGCAGGTCTTGAACCTGCGACCTTCGCGTTATTAGCACGCTCTAACCAGCTGAGCTAATAGGCCAGTTGTTAATGATATCAAGTTTTATATTCTTATATCGGACTACCATCATTTTCCTGGTCCTGTTTTAAAGAGGTGTTAGGGCCCAAACAAAACTAAACAGAAATATTCATGGGCCTGGCCATACCACAAGAACTGGGTCTGGGGTAGATTCATAACATTACATGGAAGCCCAAGTTATGAAGTCCCTGGGAGAATTCTATAGTGAGGGCCGAGAGCAGCAAGACGTTTGTAAGCTACACCACCACCATGCAATGCAAAGACCTGTCCTTAATGATAAGGGTCATTACAGTCCAAGGAGATGGTGGAGAAGAGAAGAGTCCTCATCAACCTCACACAAGAACGGTCATTATTCCTGGGATGTTTGCACTATGGTGAATATGTACATATACATATAGTGATGTACTTCCCTTTCATGGTCCGCCTCTACTTGAAGTTAGGGATGACTTGTATGGGTTTGGATGTTTCACAAAACAAAACCCCACCAAAAATATATATATATATATATATTTAAATAGGGGTGGGCATTATAACCGAAAACCCGACCGAACCGCCTAAACAGGACCGCTTTTGGTGG